ATACTGGCGTCGCCGTCTTACAAAGCGATGAAGGAAGAAATTGAAGATGCACGCAATCTACGTGCGGATGCACGCAATCTACGTGCGGATGCACGCAATCTAATGGAACACGAGGTGGGTACGCTCCAAGACTGGAAGGACTTTGATCAGAAGAACATTGTCTCTGCTATTACAAGGACAACACTCCGGTCGGCCCTTGCCGCGGTGGAGGAGGCAACCGAAACGGCACGAAAGAAAGAGGAAGAAAGGAAACGGCGGGAAGAAGAAAGGGCAAAACGGATAGATGAAATTGCTAGCCAACCGTTGCCGGATGGCTTCTACGACTCTGTGTTAAACGCGAAATGCAGTCACGTCTTGGAGTTCTCCGAGGGCGAGGGGGATGCGATGGTGGTGCGAATGGAGGTGCGTGAGGGCCAACCACCGGCACAGTTGTGGGAGTACACGCAGTATGGCTTAACTCTTTTGCCGGTGGAAGATGCAGAGCAATTTATTCCACCGCGCCCCAGGCTGATGCTGCTCTCGTCCAAGCATGAATGGCCTTACTCACTGAGGCAGGGAGAGGACATTGCTGATTGCTACGTCAACCGTGAGGTGGATCGTGTGTGGAGGATCGTCCAGGGCGATCTAGAGGGAGAGTTTGGCACCGATGATCTGGAGTTGTTTAAAGTGAGGCGGCGTCTCGTGATCGGAACACCCGGCATCGGGAAATCTATGAACGCCGGCTCCTATCTTCTTCACAGGTTGCTGCAGTACGACATCGCGAAACTCCAAGTGGTGGTGTACTGCTTTGGGGGAGACTTGGCATTCGTGTTTGACAAAGAAAAGAAAACGGTGACAGCATGCAGCGGTGCAGGCAATGTAATCAACCATATGAATGCTTTGCTGTGGCAGCGTAAACTGAAGGGGTATGTTATCTACGACGTGGATGAAAAGGGTCATGGACCGTCGGGGGATTATCCACCCAAGTCATGGGGCATCACTGTGCTGTCCTCACCGAACGACGATAACTTCAAAGGATGGGAGAAGCAAAAGAAGGCCAAAAGGATCGTTATGAATTGCCCGGACGAGCTTGATGTGAAGGCGATGTGCGCCTGGAGGACGCGTGATAAGTCTGCAGCGGAGCAAGCTCAAAACTGGGAGATGGTCAAAAAACACATGGATCAAATTGGACCGATTCCACGATGCATTTTTAGTGGCGATGAAATCATAAACCGCTTGTCCCTGGTTGATATTGCCGTGGGTTCGATCAACGCTTCGAATGCTCATAATTACGTTCCAATTGGACAAGGGGAAATGGTGCCTGCGAATGACGCGTCTAGCAAGCTGGTGAAAGCTGCCCGAATGCGTAGACCTGGCAGGGCCGAAAGTTTTGCAAACCTACCGGTATGTCTTGACCTCGGACACAAAATACTCTCAAAGATGACAGAGGTACGTAAGCAGAATGATATTGTGTATCAATTATTGTGTTGTAGGGATCTCTTTTTGCCCGAATTTCTGGAAAAGTATGGTGTGCACGCATTCACGGACAGGGGCTTTGTGAATAATATAAAAGGGAGAATTAAGGAGCTGAAGCCACCAACAAGGCGCCCGGGACGGCCATGTGTGCTGCAATCGCACCCTGAAAAACACCCAGAAGTGTCAGTTGTATTGGAATTACTGAGCTGCAATCCCGCAAGGATTGATGTGAACTATGGGGTGTTGTACGTGCCGGACTCGCGAATCTTTCCGCTGATAGACGGCTTTTTCTTCGTGGACACACCGCGGAAGACGATGATTGGGCTGCAGGCGACTGTGGGGGGTGCGCATCACACCCAACCCAGCAAAGTGAGGCTGTTCATGGAGAGTATGGCAAAGTATTTTAATGACTGGGAAACTTTGGCCGCAGGCTTGTCGTGGGAGATTATTTACGTGCAGCATCGAGAGCGTGATCGAATAAAGAAGTGGCAGAAATGCGGGAATTCCACGAATGCGGGCAACAAGAAAGATGCGGCACAGATAAAAGAAGCAGAAGAAGCGGAAGAGGAAACCGAAGAAGACGAAGACGAAGACGAAGACGAAGCGGAGGTGAAAGCGGAAGAAAAAGACGAAGCGGATGAGAAGAAAGCGAAAAGGAAGGAGGAGAAAGAGGACAAGGAGATTGCAGACTGCTGGAAAGAAAATGTATATCAGTACCAGGTGGCGATATCAGCAGAAGATATCGGGCATACAAACAATGCCCAAAGTCAGCAACAACCAGCGAGACAAGGAAATGAACAAAATTAGCAGTTTGCGCTTTTCTGAAGAATATATATTTTCAGGTAATATTTTTTGAATGGTTGTTTATTTGTGTGAATAGGGAGGCAATAATTAGGGAATCACCCTGCTGTGCGCTAGGGAATGATCATTATGGCCAGTGATATCCCAGTAGCATCTTCTTGTTTGATTGGAAGAGTTTGCACCAGAAATGATTGCAGCTTGTGGGTGTGTGCCAACAACACATCATAAATAATCTCCTCTTTGTTTATTAGTTTACTGCCGTGTGTAGGGAGAGTTTGGGCAAAAAAAATGTATGCTTTTGAAGGCTGAAGTGAGTTTACCAGCAATGAAAGAAAGCAAACATGCTCTCCAGCATGCAGCCATCATGTGCGTTCGGATGCGGAGTGGATGACCGGCATCAGGGCACCGGCGTCTTGGGCGCGGCGTCGCGGCCCAGCGGCGGCGTTTGTTTGTTTGTGTTTGATTTTCCTTCCGGCACCGTTGCCGCCGTTTGAGTAGTTGCCGTGTGGGTGGCATACTCGCCCTGGACGACGGAGAAACTGTTGTTGTCGTGCATTTTCATCCCGGTCACACAGCGGCGTTGGCCACGTTGCGGGGCTGCATGTTATATATATATGTATATATAATCACAGTGCTGCGGAACCCCAAAGTTCCTCCGGGGCCATTTTGCGGGGGCCGGGTCGGCCCCTGCGTGTGCCGCGTGGGGGCGTCCATTGGAGGAGCGTGCGTCGGCGCCGCCCTGTGCGTGTGCGAATGCGCTGGGGCCCTCCGTCGCGGGACGCGCGTTTCCTCCGGGTGCGTTGCGGCGCCAGATGTGACGCAGCTGCAGGGCGCCACCCGCCGGCAGCAGACGGCATTGCTTCAGACGGAAAAGGAGTCACACACACACATTCTTCAGAGCCTGTTGGATCGCAGGGGGCCGCCGAGGAATCTTTGCCCGCCCAAGTCTCTCTCTTTTCCCCCTAGAGACCGCCACGGCGTCCCTTCAAAAAAAAGAAAGTTGGTTGATCTGCACATATTTTGGAAAAGGGACCAAGAGAACGGTCCGACAAGCACCCGCCCGCAGGTGGGATTCTGCGGGAGTCAGGGGCCGAAGAGCCGGCCAACAAAAGGGGGTTTGGGGGGTCCGTCCTGGGGAAGGGACGTTGAGGATTTGACGGTGCCGTGGGTTTCTTGCTGGGGAGGCATCGCCGGGTCGCCTCCTGGGCGCGTTCCGGGTCATTTCTGTTTTTTTTTTGATCCTCCGCCATGCCGGCCAATCCGGGTGCGGCGCACACTGCAGCGTGCGGGAGGACTTTGCGTGGTGGGCACGCGCCAACCGCGCGGGGTGGGTGTGTGTGTGCGAGGGGCGGGTGGGGTTGGGCGGGGGACGCAGCGCCGAACTCCGAACCCAGCGGGCGGTGGAAGCGGATCCGGGCGGACGGACGCAGGGCCTCCGGGATGCCACGGGTGGGCCCCGCAGAGTGTGGGGATGACGCGTTCTTCCGGGCTGCGCCGAAGGCCGTGAGGAGGAAGAAGAGTAAGCGGCACGCAGCTCCGCCGCCGAGTCAGGCACGATGCTGCCGCCGATGCGGGCGAATCGGGCGCTGCGGCGCGACGTGGCGGGTGAATCTGCAAACGGAGAGGCGTGTGCACACAACAGCAAAAAAAATAAAAAAAACACACACACCATGAGGCCCCAGAAGAAGCCGAGGAGCCCACCCAAGACGAACAAGAGAGAGAGACAGCGATGCGCAGAGAGCGGCGA